GCCGGCGAATTGGCTAGTGTGCTTGTATTCGTTCACACGGAGCTTGTCCACTAGCCAACTCGCCGGCGTGTAGAAGGACGCCGGCGCCCCCCAGTAGCTGACAGTATAAGAAACTATACGCACTTAATAATCCGTGGTTTTAAATAAATAGGAACTAAAGAGATATTTCGGATTTTATGTGATTCTAGATGTAGTGTAGTTATTAAATTTGTCATACAAAAAGGGGTTTTAGCGAATTTCCCATATAGGGAATAAGCTATTACCGTAGTACTCATGGTAAGACCTGGACCCGAGACAGATTTAATTTTTCATTTTGAGGTCCCTAGAGGCCAAAAACACCATCCGTTCAAATTCATATATATATATATATATATTTATATATATATTTATATATATATATATATGTGTCCGTTAGCGCGATAACTCGAGCAAAAATGATCCGATTTTGATGAAATTTGGTACAAACGTGTAAACTTACGTTTATTCGAACGAGTTCGCGATCCAGCATAATCGGACCATGGGAACGGGGGATTATGGGGGGTTTTATGGGGTAAAAATGGGTTTTTCCCATTTTTGAACCTAAAAACAAAAAATTTTGCGATTTCTTTCTAAACCATTTTGTAGAACTTAAAAAAAGAAATAATTTAGTATATTGAAGCGCTGTTGTATGCCTAACGGTCACGGAGAAAATTCAAAAATAGTGTAATTGAAAATTCCCATGTTATTCTTATGGAGAAAATGAAAATTGTTGTAGTTTACTTGTTTATGGGTATATATTGATAAAATTTGGCAAATTTATTTATTTTATCCTATACTATTGACGTATGGTCAAAAAACACTTTTTACCTTCCCCGTAGCAGCAAACCTAAGCACTCGTTAAATCTAATGTTATTTAAATAGGGAATAATATGTCTTATTTATGGAAATATTTTAGTAAAAATGTAATCAGACGAGTTGAAATTCGCTTAGTCTGCAGGTTTGGTGCGGCGGGGGTATTTTAATATATTTTATAGCATTTTAAAACTTAATTCAACCTTTGTACGTGTTCCAGTGGCTGACAGTGATAAAAGTGCTTGTACCAGTAGCTGACTGGCAGTTGTCCCAGTAGCTGACACTGGAACTATAAATGTACTAGCTGCTAAACCTAAGGGTTTTATAATATATAAGACGAATAAAATCTAACTTAATAATTAAATTATAAAATCACGTAAAACGTTATTAAGAAAATTTATTTTACATATTTTAAAATAAAAAGTATTTACATTTAAAAAAATATATATATATATATATTTTATATATATTAAAAAAAATGTACATTTTTTTAAAGATCATTTGGCTTATTAATTAAAAAATTTAAATCATTTTATAAAAATGTGAGATCAGATAAATTATAAATAGCATGCAAATTTTGATGGGAAAAACCAATTTAATATTGTGCAAGTAGCAAATATCCCCTGTCAGCTAGTGGAACTTGTATGGCTTTTGTGTACCAAAGCCTGACATTGATATAATTTTAAATCCAAAACCCCTAACACCCCAATTTTATCATGAAATTGTCAACAAAGGTATAATTGATAAAAAATAATGAGCCTAATCATTAATACTATTTAAGAAATTTAGAGAAATGACAAAAAACCAAACTTACCTTCTTAACAATTTCATTAAGGGAATCGACTAAATGTGATGTGTACTGACAAGGTCACTTTCAAACCACCACCATTCAGCGAGTATGGGCTAAATTTCACTGATTTGTTTGTAAACAAATCAAGAATAAACATATGTTCTTCTAACAATGCAATCATGTGTAAATATTTTTAAGAGACCACATTATAATGTAAAGAACCTCAAATTGTCAGCTTCTGGAGCACTGTCAGCTACTGGTGCATTTACCTAAAGCCGCTGCTTGATAGTGCTGGTGCCAGCTGCTGATCACCAGCGGCTGGCGAGCAGCCTAGTGTGACCCGTGCTTAAGTCGTTCACGCGATGCTTTTTCCACTCGCTCAGTAGCTGGAGCTGGTTTGAACTAAATCCTCCGACATCTACGAATAACATGCGCACAAGCCCAAGCAACTGTGTTCACACTGGGCTACTTTAAGCACGGGTCACACTAGGCTGCTCGCCAGCCGCTGGTGATCAGCAGCTGGCACCAGCACCATCAAGCAGCGGCTTCACGCCTACTCGCTCAAAAGCTGGCGAGTTGGCGAGTAAAGTAGCGGCAGCGTCAACTTTTTCCAGAGCTTTTTTACACGCAGCTTTTGAGCGAGTAGCCTATGTCGTTCACACTGAGCTATTTTACTAGCTGCGTGTAAAAAATCCGGCTTGTAGCTTGTAAACTCGCCCCGTGTGAACGTGAACGGGGCTTAATAGAGCGGAGGCTGTTCTATACCCCCCCCCTCCCCCCCGGTGGGAATTTTTGAAATATACATTTTTCTGCTCGTATTGACATGTACTTTAAGATTTTAGGTGTTTGCCACTTGTGAATTACAGCATGTTCCAGAAAACACGAAAATATCATGATAGTTAGAATATATATACATAAAAAATTGTTTTTCTTTTCCGATTTCGGTTGGCTCTTTTACCCGACCGATTTTCATGATTGAGGTCTCAAATTGAAGGTATTAACGTACAGATTGAACATCAAGCATCGGCATATATTTGTCTACAGTCCCGCTCGGCTTATACGTAAACGACACTTTCTCCCCATGTATTTTTTAATGATAGTTAAATTTGGTTTTTCTTTTCCGAGTTCGTTTGGCGCTTCTACCCACCCGATTTTCATTATTGAGATCTCAAATTGAAGGTATGCACGCACAGATTTCACATCAATCATCAGTATATATTTATCGACAGTCCCACTCGGCTTATACGTAAATGAAATTTGCCCCCCATGTATTTCTAAAGGGAGTTAAATTTGTTTTTTTTTCTTTTCCGAGTTTCTTTGGCTCTTCTACACGTCCGATCTTCATGATTGAGGTCTTAAATTGGTAGTATGCACACATATATTTCACATCAAGCATAATCGTATATTTATCTACTTTATTACTCGACCAAAAAACATAGATTTGATATATTTTTAATTCGTATTTCAATTTAAATTGTACGGTATTTTATTATTTATAATTATAACCCTATATATTTTGGTCTAAGATCCTTCAGTGAAATACCGGCTTTTATTTAAGACATTAGTTATTCAAATCTCACGGGTTTCAAGCAAAAGCAAGGTGAACATCCAACATAAAAGAATTCATAAGGTTTTTCTATGATTGAATATCATTAGCTCCAGTATTTTTTACGTTTTTTATATGTTTTAGACTCAAAATAATCTGTCAATTATAGGCTTTAATTTGAGCTATTGATCGTTTGAATCAGTTAAGTTTAAGATACTGTAATACACAATAAAAAATCATGATATTGATTATTTCTCGGATATGATATTTATTTTAACGCTGCAGTGCAGCATGGGTCCTTTAGTATAGATTTTTTTGTTTGATTTGATTTGATTCCAGTGCGTAGGACGGGTCCACAGCTAGTTAGAATTTCAAAATGCAAGTATGGTGAAGTCATCAGATTGTTCTCACAGTGACGTGCAAGCAAATGAAATTAAACGATGTGAGCAAAGTATTTTGCAAGTACTGTACTTGATGCTTTTGAACAATGCATTATTCTGCTTGAAGTTGAAAACCGTGATCAGAATTCCTAGATGGTCTGTTTATCAGCTGGAAGACCTGTACCCGAATCGGTGGAAGACAATTTACTCAATGTACACAATCTAGGGAAAGCTGCATGCAAACAGATTAGTTGAGATAAGAGCTAAAAGAAATATTTTTCTGGAGTTTTACTACTGTCCCAGGAACGTGATATTAACCTTGAGAAGCTGATGACATACCCATTAGATCCAGTACCATGGGCATTAGCCACTGCCGATGGATGCCCAACAAAACCAGAAAAGGCCAAACTGCTCCATGCTTTGGAGAACAAGGGTATATAATAGACGAACCTCAAAATTGAAGAATGTATGTATGTAATTGACGGTATGGCTTACTTTTAGGTTCTTACTAATATTCCAGAAACCTCTGGTGAACTAGCACAGATTGCCTTCAGCCGTTTTCCGAAATTCAGCAGGATATACTTTATTACGGATACCTATTTAGATGTATCTATTAAAAACATTGAAAGAGAGAATGGGATTTGGAGAAACATTTTTAATGAGAGGTCCAAAATCAAGATCCCACGGGATTGGGAAAAAATCCTAGCCAATGGTAAAAATAAGGAACAAAGGGTTAACCTGCTAAATAATGAATGGTCTCAGCACAAATATGCATAAATGCAAACAATCTTCAATAGACGTTTCTAGGGTAATAAGGTTCTTTTTGGTGATATTTTGAAATTCACCCCCCCCCCCCCCCCACCCACAAACAGGGTTGCTGAGAGTAAATTTTTTAAATGGCAACCCATATCAATCAGCACATTTATTTTAAAGAGATTTAAAAAAGAAAATTATTGTCGCAAATTCGATTTTGATACGAGGAAAACGAAGTTTTAGACGTTAATTTTACTGGAACCTTACATTCCAGTAAAATTTACGTCTAAAATTTCTCATTAAAATTTATTTAATTTAAATAGAATCTCTTAAAATCTCTTTCCTAGAGGTACTCGTTAAAACTAATGTTATTTAAATAGATTTAATTGAAAATCGATTCAGGACAATTTGAAATCCGCATTGCCTGCAGGTTTGCTGCAGCGGGGGTATTTTACTAACTTTTTTATTTTCATTTGAAGCCTTTGAATACATACTAAAGAAGTCCATAAAAAAATATTGCACCAGTAATTAACGCAGGCTACCCTTTTGTAATTTAAATAAAACAGTTTTTAAATTTAACAGTTTTTCTTTATTTTCTGGAATACGCTGTAATTAAAAAAAAAAACTAAATTGCGTATTTAATTCTTTTTGTCATTTTGTCTATGGTTCTACATAACTGGGAACCACAACCACGACACGATTACTTTGGGAACTAGAACTGGGACCAGGTGACGGTCAGCGGCAAGAGGTCTCCTTTCGGCTTTCGGCGTTCAATTTTGCTATTGCTTTGCTATTGCTAGCTCCAAATTGATTAGTCAGACATATACGGTAGACATTAGGCGATATTTTTCTCTTAAAATGGATAAACTTGAAATAGTACCGGATGTTATTGACAAGTTGCCTTCTGAAACAGTTAACGTAAGTAGGACCAGTAAGTTAAACCATGGTTTTCTGTTAGCCGATTCGTGGTTAGCCCATTCATTTTCACTTATGCTCAATAAATTTAATGTTCGGGTACAGTTTCTTAACTGGGCTATGCTAATATCGATTGAAACTATCGAATTGAAAATATTGATTAATAATAATCAATATTTTTCAATAGGCCTATATCTATTACAAAATTAAACTAAGTTATCATAACCTAACCTAACCAACCAAACTTGTTGATGGTGAAAAAATTGCATGAAGGTTTACTAGAATTGATAGTTTCAATCGATATTAGCATAGTCCAGTTAAGAAACTGTACCCAAATGTTCTTATAACTAACTTATCTTAATTGATTTCACTAGGCCTACCAGTTAAAAAATATCGGCTAAGGTATGCCTGCTAACAGCCTATTTTTATAAAGCCAGACGATACGCGACCTTAGGCGTCCGGCAGTTACTGTCATAACCTAACCTAATTAACCAAACTGGCTGATAATGAAAAAATCGAATAAAGGTTAAATTCTGTTCACAAAATAAAATTATAAATGCCTCAAATCCTCAAAACCGTGATGCACGGTTATGAATAAATGGCATTCTAAACAAAATCTTTGACAAAAAGACAAAGTTAGTGTCACCTATGGGATTTGATCTAACCCTTTCAGACCCAGCACACTCATTTGTGTAGGCTAGGTAAATTTTTAAGTCCTGACAACCTTGTGATTTTGTGACAACGATTGTGTAGGTTAGATGTTTATTTGTTTTTTTGAAGTTTCTGGATCTTTCCGGTGGGGCACATGGAAGATTTCTCAGGTGCCGTTTGTCGTCACTAACTGCTGACATCATTAACTGCTGCGTCTCAAGAAACAGACAATTTTATAATTTTTCTATTATTAAATTAAACTGTCATAACCTAACCAAACTAACCAAACGTGCTGATAATGGAAAAATCGAATGAAGGTTTACTAATCTAAAAAATAGTTTTGTTCATAAAATAAAATTATAAATGCCTAAAATTCAATTTTATAATTTTATAATTATAAAATTAAACTGCCATAACCTAACCAAACCAACCAAACTTGCTGATATGAAAAAAATTGTTGACAAAAAGTTAGTGCTACCAGCGGGATTCGAACCCGGTATATTCGGATTATCAGCCCGACACGCTATCCGCTACACCACCGAGGCCGATGGCTCACAACCGCATCGTTGCGCTAATGGTGTTCCCTCAAAGTGACGTCAGCAGTTAGTGAAGTCAAACGGCACCTGAGAAATCTTCCTTGTGCCGTTTTGGGATCTTTAACTGTTGCTCAGACCTGTACCACGCATCGATTGTGCAGGTTATGGAGATCAGCTGGGAATTTTTGTTTTGCAGTCTGCCTTCATGTCTTATGGTAACACTGATTGTTTTGTTGCAATGTCACGGTAAGATAGGATAGGAGAAAGAGGCAACTGTTAAGGTTAATGACTGTTTTATTTATGTTTTTAAACGTATATAATGCTAATTATTGCTGAAACTGAAATGGTTAATGTGATCTTATCTTATCTTATCTAACAGGGGCAGGTCGAGACCCTAAAGCACCTCATCCGAAATCGAATTATTGCGCACCCCAGACAATTGCTTTCTTGTTGACCTACAAGTTAAGGCGCCCAATGAATGCCTGTAACTTCCCAATTAGTTCATCCTCAGGAAGGTATCTACCTCTAGCCATATTTCCAAGAGTTATCAATCTAGCGTCAGAGAGCTCGTTACAATCAAAGAGTAACCAGAGATCAAAGAGTAAGACAATAATAGGTTTTTTACATACCTCAGTCAAATAGTCCAAAAATGGTATTGCTCAACAGCTTACATGTTTCGTTGCGAAGACAACATTATCAAAGCTTGCAACTCGTCAAAAACACATTTAAAACACGAACACGAACACAGAAGACATTAATACGGTACGAATACACAATTGACATTTAGATAGCGCTATCATAATACTGATTTGGTCCGGCGCGGCGCGGGGCTGGTAGCAGACTCAATGTAAGCAATACCATTTTTGGACTATTTGACTGAGGTATGTAAAAAACCTATTATTGTCTTAACAATATAGTCCAGGGGCCGAAAACATGAATTTTGATTCAAAGAGTAAGAGTGATCAGCTGTCTCTTCTGACCTATCACAGTACCTACAGATCGGTTCACCATCATATAAGCCCATCCGTTGTAAATGTTTCCTGAATCTTCCATGACCAGTTATCAGTTCAACAATTAATTTAATTCTTCGTCTGTCTAGTCTCAAGAGGTCACAGGTTACCTTTTTAGAAGGCCTAAACAGAGTAAGCTTGCTGACCCTAAGAAGGCGAACATCGACCCAGCGTTTGCGATGCTTTTCCTTGGCCCATGACGCAATCGCAGAACATGCACTGTTTCGTGAGATGCCACAGAAGGGTTGTGGGCCTATCATTGATGTCGCAGAGGCAGTATTTGCCAATCTGTCTGCAGCTTCATTACCTTTAATGCCTGAGTGTCCTGGCACCCAGCAAAGCGTAAGGTCATTTCTCCTACCCAACTCAGACACAGAAGCAAGACAGTCCCACACGAGCCTGGAGTTGAATTCGTAAGAGTTTAATGCTTTTAAGGTCGCTTGACTATCAGTATAGATGATTGTTTTGTCTCTTATATCTTTGTTAAGATGCTCTCGAGCACAAACCAGAATGGCAGTGACCTCCGCTTGAAAAACAGTTGGGTACACCCCCATTGGAAGACAAATGCCAGTGCCTCCATTTATCCAATGCGCACCTGCTCCAGTGCCCCCATGATCTTAGAACCATCAGTATAGCATTCTAAATCACCTGTGGGTATGGGTCCTTTTCCGCCAGACCAATCCTTCCTATCTGGTATTAGTACTTTGAAAGGCTTTCCAAAGGAGTATTTTTTGGACATGTGATCTGAAGGCAAGTCCAATTCATCATTATGTACCACCTGAACAAATTTGGAGTGCCCTTTATTGTTTCCTGAGGTTGTCCATAAGTTTTCGCATCTAAGGCGTTGGGCTGTTTTACTTGCTACCACCTTTATGTAAATGTCGATAGGTAGCATATCAAGCAGACAGTCTAGAGCCGCTCCAGGACAGCTGCTTACTGCCCCAGTTATCATTATAAGAGCAAGCCTCTGAACTCCTGCTAAAGCTTTGACAGCTATAGTAGATTCCATCTTTGGCCACCACACAAGCGAACCATATGTAAGGGCGGGTCGAACAACAGATACATACAGCCAGTGCAAAAGTTTAGGCTGTAACCCCCATGTACCACTTACCATCCGCCTGCATGCCATAAGGGACCATTTGCCACGCTCAGTGACTTTTTGAAGATGTGTTCCCCTGTGAAGTGATCTGTCCAAAATTACACCAAGATACTTCACCTGATTCTGCAGCTCTATTACAGTGCCCTGCAGTCTTAGTGGGCCGATCCCATCCAGTTTCCTCCTTCTTGTGAAAGGTACCATTACAACTTTCCTGGGATTTATAGAGAGCCCAACTTCCTGGCACCAACGGTCCACTACCCTTAAAGCTCTATTCATAAGGTCAGTTATGGTTCCGTGGAACTTTCCAACCACAAGGATTGCAACATCATCAGCGTAACCTAAGGCGAAAACCCCACTTTCATTGAGGGTCCTTATAAGGTCGTCTGCTACCAAATTCCAAAGGAGGGGAGAGAGAACCCCCCCCCCTGAGGGCATCCTCGAGTAGTTCTTGCCTCGATCGTGTCATTATGGAGTGAGAGCCTAACCTTCCTACTGTGAAGCAAGGATTCAATCCATCTACATATTATGCCGTGAAAACCTCTTGCTCTCACCGCATTAAGAATCGCTGGAGTACCAGTATTATCAAAAGCACCTTGAATGTCGAGAAAGGCACCCAGGGCCACTTCACTGCTCTCTAGAGCTTTCTCAATCTTGCTTACAAGTTGGTGCAACACAGTCTCGCATGATCTTCCTGAGACATACGCATGCTGATTATTATGAATAGGATGTGTCCTGAGAGCTGTATCCATCATATATCTTGAGACCAACTTTTCTAGGATCTTAAGGAAGAAAGAAGATAGAAAAATGGGTCTAAATGACTTAGGATCAGTGTAACTATCCCTCCCTGGTTTAGGAATAAATACGATACGCGAATTACACCACCCTAAGAGAATGTGTCCTAAGGCTAAGCTGGCTCTGAAAAGTTTACAGAGTGGGTGTATAATTGTGTCAAGACCCTCCTGCAAACAAACAGGTCTTACCTCTTCAGGACCCGGCGATTTGAAGGGTCGTAATATCTTACCTTGCTGAAGGTGACTATGCGGCAAGCAGAGCTCCACATAGAATGAGTGGCACGACGGCCCAGATTAGGCCGCTCTGGACTCGCCTCCTCCTGCTGCACTTCAGAAACAATACAACCAGGGAAATGAGTTTTTACCAAAACCTTTAGTATTTCGGTAGGTTCAAAAGCCATTACACCATCCGGTCCCTCAACGGCACCAAGAGTAACATGCCTGTCTCTAACAAGTACCTTATGTATTCTAGAAGTATCCTTGATACTTTCTAAATTTCCACAAAATTTTTCCATGAAAGCCTTTTGGCCTTTCGTACTGCATGGTTATATTCTGTGAGAACAGTATGGTATATATCCCAATTATTGGTTTTCTTAGCTCGCCTAAAGTGGGCCCTTACTCTCTTCCTAAGAGAAGCAAGTTCGGGACCCCACCAACTAGCCCTATTGCTCTTGCCCTTGCGCAAAGGACAATTATCCTCAAAGGATGTAACTAAGCACCTAGTTAGACGATCTGCCGCCTTGTCAAGCGCATCAACTGTGTTTATAGGAGATGTGTTCAGATTTGAGGCAATCCTGCCTCGAAGATCAGCTCTGAAGGATGCCCAGTCAGTTTTAACTGGGCTCCTGAATAAGCGAACCTCGCCGCAGAAATTCCCCAACCTGAAGACAATGTGCCTATGATCAGACAGGGATGGCTCAAGGGACACTGACCAGTCAATAATCCTGTCAGCCATACCCGCTGAACACAGGGTAAGATCAATTACTGATTGGCCTATCCTGCTTAAAAAAGTTGGTTCTGAGCCTACGTTTGCAACAAGTAGGCCGCAAGAAGCTAGGTACTCTAGAAGTGACCTACCTCGGTTGTTAGTGTCCCTGCATCCCCAGGGAAACCAACAACCGTAGTACCAGTCTTCTGACCTCGGCCGATGGGAACAGTCCATCGTCGTCCTGTGGCATGTAAACAGAGGCCAGCAGCAGTTTTATGTTAGATTTAGTACATACAGTCTTAATTACTGTTACGTCCCTTGAACAAAGCTCTAGAACTAGATTACATTTTAGCCCCTCTTTAACCCAAATGCAAGTTCTAGGGTGTGGTACAGATGCAGAGATGATGCTACCCTTAATGGTTCCCATCCCTGCAATTCTAAAATTATTGACCCAGGGTTCCTGAATCAAGGAAAGCTGATTGTTGCCCTCCCCAGAATCCATGGGCTTGCCCTCCAAAAAGGAGGAGTGGGATTCCCCGCTTGAGCAGGTACCCACCTGGGGTAATGATTCCGTTTGTTTACTTTCAGCCATTACTAAAACAAGAAAAGCAAAAAGTAAGCAGTTTAGCAGCCGAACCGTGACCACTCACTACACCTGCTAATGTCCAAGACTGGACCCTTTCGGGGTTGGACCCCTCATCGTCTCCAGCTCAGTCCTGTCACAGCTGCACACATACCTGTAACAGTTGGCGGTAACATTAGCTATCTGGGCCTTGGCCGGATTGGTGATTGTCACCTCCGCCCAAGGCCAGTACTAGAGCAGCCGCTCCCTACCCTAGGGCTGTCTAGTCACGACACAGCCAGCGCTAGATCCGCTGCCTTCAGCGAGTGCAGAGGCACCCCTTGCAGGCTGTGACTTTGCTGAACAAAGTCGACTCACAGCGGTCTTGGAGGAGGAGCTGTCATAGACAGCTCCCCCTCCCTGAGGAGCTTACGCTTACCTCTCGCCCCCGGTTAATATGGTATTATGAAGGTTTCGTCTTTAAAACAAACCTAATCATTAATTTTAGTATTTGAAATCTAGGTTAAAAACCAACATTTATTCAAAATTTGCTCAGGACTTAAAGTGGTCGAGATGACTAAGATTCCCGGGTCTGAAAGGGCTAAGTTAAGTTAGTTACGTACTTAGTAACCTCTTATTCGTCAGCTGAGTATTCTTTACTCTCTATTCACTACCAGTGTTGCCACCTCGTTGTTGCGATTATACCTTTAAGGCGGGCTAAAATTTCCCTAAATTTACTTTGTGTTAAGTACCCTAAAAATTACCCTAAATATTAATATTTGTGTTTAATGCTATATAACATTGTTAAAATAATATAAATCTTACATAAGGTGGTTTAATTAGACTAAATTAGGTTTTAATATCAATCAATATAAAAATTAAATCATAGGCTTACTCGATTCTCGAAAAAACTACAAAATGTTGATATTCAGCTCTATTGTATAGGCCTATACGAAAAATATCAAACCAAGAATTAATGTATTTTTTATTGTATTAACCCATTAAGTTACTCCTTCTAAGGACAATCATCACTTTATAATTTACAGTAGCCTACGGTAAGTTACCACTAGGCCTATACAAAGCTTTAACCTATACATGCAGTCATTTTTTGACTCAATCGGTGGTATTTGTTTACTTTAGGGGCTTCTAACGAATTTTGAAAAAAATGTTTTTTTCTGATTATTTGGCCTATTTTGAACACTTTTTACATTTGGCACTTTTAGGGCAAATGCCTATTTCACCCTGAAAATCACATTTGCAAAAAGTGCTAAAAATTTGTGTGGTTTTTTAACTCTTAATGTGTTTTTACTATTACTTAGGACCTACAGAACTAAATATAATCCAACCTAACTTTATCTACATCTAATCTAATCTAACCTAACCTAACTTAACCCTACCTAACCAATGCTTAGGTTAGCAATATGCCGAAAATAGCGGATTATTAGTTAAACGAAGGTTAGGTTACGTTACGTTAGGTTAGTTAAGGTTAGGTTAGGTAAGCTAGTTAAGTTATTATTTAAATCAATTAGCCTAAAATCACCTGAATATTTGAAATCTAACCTAACCTAACCTAACTTAACCTTACATAAACTAACCTACGGTAACTATATTTAAACTAACCTAACCTAACTTAATCTAACTTACTAACCCAACCCATCCTAACCAATGCTTAGGTTAGCAATATGCCGAAAATAGCGGATTTTTAGTTAAACCAAGGTTAGGTTATAATAATAATCATAACATCTGCTTATTAATACAATAATAAAAACACATTTAAAGAAAGGCAAGGGGGGAAAAACCTGATTTTCTAAGTAAAAATGGCAATTGCTGAAAAATGTTTGCGATTTTCAAACTCAATTTTCAGGGTGAAATAGACGTTTGCCCCAAAAGTGCCAAATGTAAAATATTTTCAAAATAGGCCAAATAATGAGAAATTTTTTTTTTTAATTCGTTAGAAGCCCCTAAAGTAAACAAATACCGTTTTGTTCATGTTTTTTGTAAAATTTCTATTCTTATGCTACCTTTTTGTTTTACCCTATTAATTACCCTAAATCTACTATTACCCTACCTTAAGACTAGTAAATTACCCTAAAAGTCGTAACACTGGCCACTTCACCAAAAACACCGATGGCTGTACATCGTATCATTGTGGTAAGCTTAATGGTGTTACGGACCCCCACAACCTGTTGACGTCATTGCCGGATGCCTAATTCACGTTCGGTTAAGTTACCGGATGTGTATTCTCTGCGTTTTATAAAATATGGTTGTTAACTTATTATTCTAATCTTAATTTTATCTGGTCCAGAGTCGTACGCACGCTGTGCCAGTACTGCCAGCTAGGTATGACTCCGATCGGTGTCGTCAGCAGCAAACGCGTTAATACATAGGCCTAAGTTACTGAACTTTTACTAACTTAAAGGTTACTTATGTCATATTGCAATTTTTTGCCTTATCTACCAAAATTAGGGTATTTTAAGCACTGTTTAATTAACCTTTGGCTTTTTTTAGGGAAATGCCTTATTTCACCCTGAAAATCGTTTTGAAAATCAAAAAAAGCACTAGAAATAAAAGATTTTCTCTTTTTGCTTTTTATGTGTTTTTCTTATTAATTAACTTAGGCCAAGGCCATTTCAAACACCTTTTCCGTCAGACACTTTTTCTGCAAATGCCGTTTTTACCCAGAAAACCAGGAAAGCTGTAACAAATACAGTAGATTCCCTCTTATCCGGACACCTTTTGACCGGACATCGGTTTAACCAGATTACAATCGGCAGAAATGACATCTCTTTAACCGGACAATTTTTATCAGCACATTGGTTTTTAACCGGACTAGATCGGCAGGAAGTGGGCAGTACTGAAACGACTGTTCTCGTGGGAAAGATTTGAGACCAGTGATCACGTGTCTAAATACAATGCTCTCCTAAATTTATTTCAAATATCACAGTAAACGGTCCGTTTTAACAAGTTTTTGGGGACGTCGGTTTAACCGGAATAACCGTTATCCGGATTGGCCTCAGTCCCGAGGAGTCAGGATAAGTGGGAGTCTACTGTAGTGGAAAAATTACACATTTTTGGATATGCCGAAACCAAATTAAACATAATCCAACCTAAACTTAATCTTACCTAACCTAAACCAAGCTTACCTAGGTTAGCAAAGTGCCGAAAATGAACGATTTCTGGTAAACCAAAGATAGGTTAGGTTTTATTAGGTTTGGTTAAGTTAGGCTAGGTTAGTATTAAGTTATTGACACATTTACCATTCAAATGTGTCAATATTTAGTGATTTATAATGCTTTTCACAATTTTCAAACACGTTTTTCGAGGTGAAATAACTTAAGTTAAATGTTTGCAGAAAAAGTGCAAGAGGTGAAATGATTAACTTAAGTGATTGAAATGGTCTAAATAATAACAAAAATACCATTTACAGTACTTAAAGTACCTAAAAAAAAGTTTTTCTAGCGTTATTCTAAATTTTCAAACACAATTTTCAGAGTGAAATAAGTTTACTTAGGCATGTCCCCCAAAAGTGCCAAAGGTAAAAAGTGCAAAATAGCCTAATTTTGGTAGATATGACCAAATAAATTGCAATATAACATAAGTAGGCAGTTCAGTATTAAGTTACCAAATAACACATTGATGTGATATAACAATCTAAGTTAAACACATTCTAATGCCATATCCATTGGCTAACTTTTCTATTTTAACATTTTCAGAGGTCTGACACACATTAAGTCAAGTTAGCCTAGCCTAGGTCCTACTTGACCCAACTAGGCCTCTAGGCTACTTAGATTAGGCTACCAGTAGCCTACTTGAAGAATGAACAATGATGCTTCCCCAGCTAACTTAGTGTTCCCATAGGACTTTTTTCAGAAATGATAGCCTACTGTGTAGCCTACTTTAGGCCTATCAACTTTAGGCACACACCCTCAGAATCTTTGTTTATTAATTTTACAAACTGCACATATTATCCTATGGAAATTTTTACCAGGCCTAACTTACCACTTTTCTTTATTTAGCCTATTAAATTACAGGTAACATATGATGGACAGTATAAAGTGGACCAAGGGAATGAACTTACGCCGACCCAAGTGAAGGATATTCCTGATGTGAAATACATTGCCAACCCAAATGATTGGTATACTCTCTGTATGACAGGTAAAATTTTACATTTTGCTCTTAGGCCTACCGCACACGAGAAAGACTATTTCGTTATAGTTATGAGTCAAAAAGTTGGCCTCATAGTGGTAAATCTGAGGGTGCTTACGGGCTGACCACAGCCAGACAGTTGGCAGACAGTCGAGACATTTTGGGGCTGACCGATTTTCCCCCTAGACTCAACTGTCGTGTCGTATTGATAAAGGCATAGAGACAAGTTTGAACACGCACACTGACGACTTTTGTTGTGTGTAAGTTACGCTACGCAGTCAAGTGCGTTATGGCTGCAACAAGTGCAAGTGTTTTGGGAGACAAAAAATTGAAGTTTTTTTTGATAAAGTGGAGGCACGGCCCCCTCTTTTAAAGGAGTATTCAGAAATTATATTAAACACTGTTATAACACTCATTAGTCAGTACATGAATAATTTGTCCAGATATTTCCTCAAATCCGAGTATAAGAGATAAACGGGCCTTTCAAGGTTCTCGGACTGTAAATTGGATGCACCCAGTATTTTCTTTTATATTTTCTTGCACAAAATCTGATCAGTAACGGACATATGTCAACGGTTTCTGTGGCATATCCATTCCTTTTGACACTCAAAAGACGTAGGTACCCACAGTCAACGACCAAACAGTCTGGACAACTTTTTGATGGTCCACCTGACAGAAGGCCGACAGCCGGTCGACTAAAAGTCTTTTGTGTGTGGTAGGCCTTAGTGTTACTGTTAAATAGGTATACAGTAAACTATAGCATTGTTTTAAAATCCTTATTAAGAGTCCTTGAAGGCTAGCGAATATCTTGGATAATTTCAAACTGCTGCTGAAGAGTTAGTTAAATCCAAAAATAGTTTTTCGAACACCACAGTAATTATAGGCCTAATGTAAATATTTAGTACACTGTGAGATTAGAAATGTTTGTTTGTTGCTTTGAATGTATTTCCAATGAAGTCCAAGGAAGCCAACGGCCATTTTGGATTTCCAATGATAATAAATAATTTTGCTATTTTCAAACAGCCGCTGAAGAGTTATTTGCCACCTCAAAATATTTCTTCAAATACCAAAGTGATTGCAATTTAAATATCTAGTGTACCGAGAGATAAGAAGTTTACTTTGTAGTTTTTCAATTGTTTTATGAGTTAGAACGTCTAGGCTCCAAGGACTCTTTAGTTGTTGCTTGCACTTTAACTGAAGTAAATAGATGCAAATTTTACGTCCCTTTAAACTTACCCACTTTTAAATCTGTAAAAAAATTGGTTATTGTTTCTGACACCCAATTCTTCTAAAACGTTATAATAAAACATGCTTTTAAATTTTTCTTTGACATCATATGTCATTCATTGGACTGAGACTAAATCACAAAAAGACGAAACCGATAGTCATTTGCCATTCTCGACTTCGATCTTCAATTGACTTAGACTCCATAAACCCAATCACAGTTAGTGGCAAAGCACTTCCATACTACGACAGTGTAAAGAATCTTGGCATGTCTTTCAACTCTTCACTTACTTGGGATAGGATATAGGCTAGCAGTAACGGAGACAAGAAAACAGGTTTTTGCCTCAAACATTCACTGAAAAGATCACAGGATTTATTACCATAACACACTAAACTACATCTGATTAAATCACTTGTACTACCCCACTTCAGTTACTGCAACTCATTGATCAATGCATGCATGGTATGCTCCAGCGGTCACAGAATTACTGTTTGAGATTTGTCCATGGTCTGCGACGTATAGAGCGTATCACACCATACTACCTTGAGGCACACTTCCTAAAATTAAATTATTAAAGATTCATCAAAATTGTGTCATTGGTTTTTTTAATTTTTTAAAACCGGCTCCCCAAATTATTTCAAATCTTATTTTAAATTTGTGTCTCAGGGTAGTTCACAAATGTCTCGTTCTTCTTCGATCACATTGCGTATACCTCATCATGTGACCACGGCTTATGACTTGGCTTTTGTTGTTATCGCTTGCCGTCTGTGGAACGGTCTACCCCTGCACATTAAGACACTTGAAAAACATTACCAGTTTGTGGCGGCACTGAAGAAGCTATACATTGAGCAGATGGTCTCGGCTGGCGTGTCCTACAGCTACTGTTTCTTTGCGCGTTTGCTGATGCGTGTATTCAAGAGTGTGTGAATGTATTTTTTTTTGTTAAATTTGCATGTTTTCTTCTTTTTTTCTGAGAAATATAACTTTATCTTAAAAAATAAACAATTTTTCATTTCATTAATTTTATTTCATTGACACTATTCATTGTACCAATCATGTACAGACGACAAATAAATATATTTTGATTTGATTTGATCAACACTAAGTTACAAAATTTCTTAAATAACTTTTTTGTCGGCGGTGAGGCTTCCTTTTATTACTACAGTCGGATATATATCAGCAATAACCCCAACTCACTGGGGGACTGGTGGGAATTTGTGGTTTTGGATGGGGGAAAACACCCTTTTCATTGTGACAATAAAGGATAATTTTACAGGAAGACGGGTAATTTTACGGGGAAATGGGACATTTTCACAATAACCGTGATAAAATCCCTAATACCCCCGCCGCAGCAAACCTGCAGACTAAGCAAATTTCCATTTGACTGATTGGATTTACACTGAATTGTGTACTTAAAAATATAAAATTTATTCCCTATTTAAATAGAATTAGTTTAACAAGTACTTAGGTTTGCTGCATCAGGGAGGGTAAAACTGTTTTTTTTTGTAAAATGTTAATAGTTAGTAAGAAATAAAAACATTTTCCAAATTTGATCAAAATATGTTCATAAACAAGCAAACTACAACAGTTGACTTATTCTCCTTAAGAATAACATGGGAATTTTAAATTTACAATTTTTGGAATTTTCTCCGTAACCATTAGGCGCATAATAACACTTAAATATACTAAATTATTTGTTTTTTAGAGCTCTACAAAATGGTTTGGAAAGAAAATGCTAAATTTTATGTTTTTTTGGTCAAAAATGGGAAAAACCTATTTTTACCCCATAAAACCCCCCGTAAACCCCCGTTCCCATGGTCCGATCATGCTGGATCGCGAACTCGTTCGAATAAACGTAGGTTTACAGTTACACGTTTGTACCAAATTTCATCAAAATCGGATAATTTTTGCTCGAGTTATCGTGCTAACGGACACATATATACTGTATATATATATATATGAATTTGAACGGATGGTGATTTTAGCCTCTAGGGACCTCAAAACGAAAAAAAAATCGGTCCCGCGTCCTGGTCTTACCATGAGTACTACGGTAATAGCTTATTCCCTATATGGGAAATTCGCTAAAACAGGAATAAAATCCCTAATTATTGCAGGATAAGATCCCTTTTAGCGAATTTCCCTATAGGAAAGTAGCTATTATCGTAAGTGTATTATTATATTATTATTATATTATTATTATTATTATTAAGACACTTGAAAAACATTACCAGTTTGTGGCGGCACTGAAGAAGCTATACATTGAGCAGATGGTCTCGGCTGGCGTGTCCTACAGCTACTGTTTCTTTGCGCGTTTGCTGATGCGTGTATTCAAGAGTGTGTGAATGTATTTTTTTTTGTTAAATTTGCATGTTTTCTTCTTTTTTTCTGAGAAATGTAACTTTATCTTAAAAAATAAACAATTTTTCATTTCATTAATTTTATTTCATTGACACTATTCATTGTACCAATCAATTACTGTGTGTAAGTGGCACAGTAAGACCTAGGCCCGGGACGGATTTCCTTTTTCATTTTAATGTCCCTAAAGGCCAAACACTGCTTACGTTCAAATTTATATATATATATATATGTATATATATATACACGGCCGCGCCCGGGAAGCCAGTCACATAAAATATACACTGGAAGTCAGTCAGTTGCACCCCCCAATATATTTCAAGACTATGATATATATATAATATATATTGGTAAATATCTTAAGCCTAGACATATCTGAACGTATATATCTCATTTTTTCTTAAAAAAAACTAAAATATAATTACGTAAAAAATGCTATGCTAATGCAGTCACTACCGCATTTGCATGGGAAAGCCAGTCACGTAAAATTTGTGCTGCTAAGCCAGTCACTATATATTTTACCGCATACAACTGGAATGCAGTCACTGAAAATCCACCGGGTATCCTGTCACTTCAGTCACTTTCACCCCTGCCCTTCTACTTTGTGATATTTATTTGTTCTACAAGCTTGAAAATCCGCACCTCAAACAAACGGATTATGCTTCAGGCATTGAGCACTCTCATGACCAATCTTTCGCACTTCATTTTAATTAGTTGTCTTCCAGATTACTTACCAATTACTATTCTACAGATTAAATACCTAAATGCCAATGTAATTTTTGGTCGTCTTAATGGTCGTCCTGGCAACTGTGGATACAAATATGTACCGAACTAATTCGCAAGCGCAAGGTGGGAAGTTATTGCTTTATAGTCGCACAATTAGGCCTATTGTTGAGTCCTTGGAGGCAAGCGGCCATCTTGGATGATTTCAAATACAGTAGCTGCAAAATTTATCGTCGTAATATTTTTCAAACACCAAAGTGCAAAGCTATTTATAATTTAAATAGCTAGTATACTGTGGGATTAGAAATGTTCTTTGTAGTTTTGAATTATTCTCCAAGGGAGTCCATAAAATAAGCTAACGGTCACGGTCATCTTGGAAAAAGGCCAACTAATACGAAAACAATATCCTGTGTTGCGCGGGCCGTAGCACACAAATAGTTTTCCCGCCTCAAACAATCAAAGGCGCGTGGAACAAGGCAAAATTCTTGTCTCTCTTGTGGCGTGAGGTCGGGGCGGGCCTAACGGGTTCCATTGATGGGCTACCCGGCTACCGACCGACCTGGGGTAGCGACTAGCGAGCCAGTGGATGCAAGGTTCTGCCGGTTATTTCCATCTTATTGCTGGTTCTCGAGCTTTTTGAGCTTGTTGTACAGTGAAATCTTACTTCCCTATTTTATATAGCCACAATCAAAGCGATTTTTACAAG